TTTAGCAAATAATTTTTTTGTTAATTTGTTGAGTAAATCTAATAAAATAACAGATGTAGAAGATGGAGAACAATATACAAGATCATAATATTTTTGTGCTATACATTAGAAGGATTGAAAATTTTATTTTCATGGCAATTACTATGAAATGTCACTTGTTACATTCTGCTTTCTGGAGTTGGTCTCAATAAAGAGTACTTTTTTGGCATATTTTTTCTGTGTAATATATATCTCTGATTTATAATAGTCATTTGACTGATCTCCCAAATTTTAAAACTCAGGAGAAACCTAGCAGCTAAAATTCAGCCATTGTAATTGTTGTTTTGAATCTAGGAGAATTAGTACACAAGAGCATGGCAGGTGTCACAGGCAAAAGAAGGGCAGCATCCTCTAATCATGAGATGGTGTCGGTGGGGATGGAGGGAGGCAGCAGGTATTATTGAAGTAAAAATAATTAGCATTTAATTAAACCAAATGCTTGTTTTGATTGTAAATAAACAAGGAAGACATGTTCCTCCCTCTTTATTGTAGAAGATGACCTGGGTATAGTAAAATAGCTCAAGTATTACAGAATGAAAATAAGACATTTTGGTAAAATTTCTCAAAGTTGGAAATTAATTGAATGCATACTTAGCAAATTAATATTAAAAGGTTGTAAAATGACTTATCAGGTAAATAATAATTATAGCATTTAAAATTTTTTGGATTAACTTTGTTACCTAATAATTACTATCTAGTGAGAGATATGCATACCCTCTCCCTAATGTATATGTTTTCAATAAAACCAGTTTCCTTATCCTGAAAGAACAAGTTTATATTTAGTTTTTTTTCTTTTTAAAATATCACTTGGAATATATGTTAAAAACTTATATTTAAAATATTTAGCTCTGTGTATACTATATAAGTAGAATCCAAGCTTATTTGGTAACTAGGGACACAGGCTTTAGAGTTAGACAAGTCTTGGTTCAGGTTCCAAATTTATAACATATCAGCTGTGTAACCTTGGGTAGGTTACTTAACTTTTTTGATCCTTGGTTCATTTTTAAAATGGAAATGATTGATACCTTACCTCATAAAGTTGTTGTGAGGATTAAAGGTAATAAGATTTAAGAGTTTGTTTTAGTACCTGACTCATACCATGCAATAAATGTTAGCTCAAACAAATTGGATATGACTTTTTGCTATGTAAAATAGACACATTTATCTTTCTCCCTTTGTCAATTAGACTTATATGTATTGTTTTCAAAGATGAGAATCTTAAAATTTTTGTGTGATCACTGTCTAATTTCATTTATAGCTAAACTTTTAACAAGGTTTGTTTTTTTTTTTTAATTGTTCAGTTTAAATGTTTTTTAAATCTGATGTTCAGGTGGTTTTCAGCCATTTGGAGGACAAGCTCATTTCTGCCCTGCTTAGTTAATTATTGTGATTGTAAACAAAGGATGTACAATTCAAAGTCAGGCAACATTTCACATGGATGATGGAGGTGATAATAGCTTAATTCCTGCTGGATCTTTTTTCTCTGCTCTGGCAAGTTCATATTGACCTTGTCCAAAATCTGATGACCTCCCTATTTTACTCAACTGTTTGGAAAGCTAGGCCTGCCATAGCTGGCCCTGAGGGGGTATCTAAAAGACCACTGAGCCACTGACCCATGTCAAGACTGGATTTTAAGTCCGATCTACAGGGCCTCTGAAATAGTTATATATGGGGCTTATTGCACACAAAAGCCTAAACGGCTGCATTTTTCTGCTTATTAAATGTCCTATTAAAGTGTATTTAAAGTGTTATTATTGAAGTTATATATTTAATTTAGACAGTTTCTTATGCAGGTCCTTTTCTATTAATAGTTTGATTATAAATTTTGATCTTTTATCAGACTTAGTATCTTAAAACTAAACTTGAATGTTTTGAAATGTGAGGAAAATATATTGATAAACCACGGAAGATAATGTAATGAATTATCTTCCTGGTCAATGAAGAGACCAAGGCAGTGGCATTTTAGTGCTTATATTTTAAAAATTTTGTTTTTTCCCTGGTAAAAATTCCATATACCTCATAAAAAAATTTAGTTTAGGCTGTCATTTTTACAGCATGGTAATCTCTGTTTATATCTTGTCAAACCTCAGTTATTACCCAAATGTTGGTATTTAAGAGTTTTGAGATTGAGATGTATCATGAAGGAAAGCCTATAAGATGTATTTATACCATTAAGATGTTATTTAAATTTGGTTGGATAGGATCTGTCTACCTTAATAAAAACTTTGCGATAGGGCTATGATATACAAAGAGAAAATAATTTCTCTATTTCGTTCTTCTGCACAATAGAAAATGATCAGGTCCTTTTGAATGTCGAGTCAGTATCCTACAGTTTATAATATAACATTGTCTTTTATTTTTATGTAGGAGTTGATCCCTGAATTTTATTATCTCCCTGAGATGTTTGTCAACTTTAATAATTATAATCTTGGAGTGATGGATGATGGAACAGTTGTGTCTGATGTCGAACTTCCTCCTTGGGCCAAAACCTCAGAAGAATTTGTTCGCATAAACAGATTGGTAAGATAGTAATCATCTGCTCTGTCTGTCATGAGCCTTTTCTCAAAGCATCTTTCATGTGTTGGTGTGTAATCATTAACCCTTGCTCCTCTGGACAAAGCTGTAGTTGACAGGAATAACTGAAAGTAATGTAATAGTTCAGGAATCATCATATATACTTTATAAAATGTTATTGAATTGAAAGGTATAGTAGTTTCTTTTATTCTTTTGTGTAGAATTTAGGTCATGTTCATATATACATGATAATTCAAAATTATACGTGAAAGTTATAAGTGAAACTAGAATTGTAAACTTTTTCATAAATGGGGTTTCCCTGCCAGGAAAGGAACATAATTTTGTGCTTCAGGTGAGAAGGCCATTACACATTTTGGTAATAGAAACAAGATTTTCAAATTACATCCTGTATCTATTTTTACAGGAAATCTCTACATAATATTTAGAATATGAAAACTTTAAAATCTTAAAAGCACAATAAATTTGTGCTTACAAATAACTCTTTAGTGTTCTATTTAGTGGACTCTTCAATGTCCTCCATTGTATGAATTCTATATTATTTTGTGAGAAATTAATATGACTTTTCCTTTTTGCCTTTATAAGTTTAATGGACGTTTAGAATAAGGGAGCTTTATTTTCAGTATTTAAAAGTAGTATCATTACCATATTCTATATTAAAAATGAAATCTCAATTGTATTTTAAATTTATAATTAAATAAGGGCAATTACTGCATTTTGGTTTTTTAGGTGGCATTTCTTACTTTCATACCAACAATTGTATTTTAATCCTATCTTCCTGATCCGTATTATAATCTCATTATTACTGAAATTTCACATTTCGTGTATATATACTGGAAGAATACAGGGGAGTGGAAAGAATATAAACTTTGAAGTTAGACCAGATTTCCCAATCCTGGATAAATCACATTACCAATTATGGGACCTTAGGAGTTTAATCTTTCTTAGCCTTCGTTTCTTCATTTGTAATTTTGAAATTAGAAGTATAAAATTGTAATTATGTATGTAAAATACCTAGAATATTCTCTGGCTTACAGTAGGCGCTCAGAAAATAGTACCTAATATTATTGTATCAGGTACATGTTACATTTTACTTTTACTCCAAGAATTTTTAAAGATACCAAGTTTCTGTGATGAAAGTGAGAGACTAAAGTAAAGCTTAGCTCCGAAAGATATTGACGGAGATGTCTTAAATGTGGCAGTCGTCTATGGTTGTGTGTTTTTTTGGTGCCAGGGGCTCACAGAAGTGAATGAACAGTACATTCCTACTACAACTTTTGTTTTTTCTTTCAGTGCTTGCCTACCCTTTTAAAACAGGTTTATTAGGTATAATTTACATACCTTAAAATTCAACTTTTAAAAATTGTACAGGCTGTGCACAGTGGCTCACGCCTGTAATCCTAGCACTACGGGAGGCTGAGGCACGAGGATTGCTTGAGCTCAGGAGTTCGAGACTAGCCTGAGCAAGAGCAAGGCCTCGTTTCTGCTAAAAATACAAAAATTAGCCGGCTGTGGTGGTGCTTGAGTCCCAGCTACTTGGGAGGCTGAAGCAAGAAGATTGCTTGAGCCCAGAAGTTTGAGGTTGCAGTAAGTTATGATGATGCCACTACACTCTAGCCTGGGTGACAGGGCGAGACTGTCTCAAAAAAAAAAAAGTGTACAATTCAATGAGTTTTGCTAAATTTGTATGGTTGTGTAACCATCACCACAGTTTAGCTTTAGAACACTTATATCACTCTAAAAGTTTCCTTGTGCCTCTTTATAGTCAGTCTCTGCTCACACTACCAGCCCCAGGCAGCCACTGATTCTGTCTCTATAGTTTTGCTTCTCTAGAATTTTATATTAATGGAATCATACAATATGTAGTCTTCTCATGCCTAGCTTCTTTTAGTTAGCATCATGTTTTTGAGATTCATCCATGTTGTTGCATATATCAATGGTTAATTTCTTCTTATTGCTGCATAGTATTCCATTTCATAGATGTACCACATTTTGTTATCTTTTTACTAGTTAGTGGACGTTTGGTTTTTTTCCAGTTTGGGGCTATTATGAATATTTGCATATTAAGTCTTAGTGTGGACGACTGTTTTCATTCTCTTGGATAGATTCCTAGGAGTGGAATTCCTGGATCTTATGATAAGAATATGTTTACTGTAACATTTTGTATTCCCTCCAAGAATGTATGAAGTTCCGGCCGGGCGTGGTGGCTCACACCTGTAATCCTAGCACTCTGGGAGGCCGAGGCGGGTGGATCGCTCAAAGTCAGGAGTTCGAGACCAGCCTGAGCAAGAGCAAGACTCTGTCTCTACTAAAAATAGAAAGAAATTAATTGGACAACTAAAAATATATAGAGAAATTAGCCAGGCATGGTGGCGCATGCCTGTAGTTCCAGCTACTCGGGAGGCTGAGGCAGGAGGATCGCTTGAGCCCAGGAGTTTGAGGTTGCTGTGAGCTAAGCTGAAGCCACGGTACTCTAGCCCAGGCAACAGAGCGAGACTCTGTCTCAAAAAAAAGAAAAAAAAAGAAGAATGTATGAAGTTCCAGTCTTTTCATAACCTTGCCAAGACTTGGTATTGTCAATCTTATTTAGCCATTCTAGTACATATCTCATTGTTATTTTAATTTGCATTATTCTAATGATGAATAATGTTAACCATCTTTTCACAGACTTGTTGTTGCTCATATGTATATGTTCTGTGGTGAACTTTCTATTCAAATCTTTTGCTTATTTTTTTAATTGGGTTCTTTGTCTTTTTATTATTGAGTTATTAATGATCTTTATGTATTCACCATAAAAGTCCTTTATCCAATGTATGTTTTGCAAATATTTTTGAACTAGTCCTTGGCTTGTTTTTTCATTTTTTAATGGTGCCTTTTGAATCACCATTTTAAAAATGTTTTGAGTAAATATTTGATATAAAGTAATGTAATTATGAAGGTATAAAGTATCATCCCCATTTTTAAGGAATGTATTTTAAAAAATAAAATCATGTTCTGATGATTTTATTATTGACATATTTTTTCTCAAATATGACTTAAAATTTTAAGTCTTGAGGGAACCAGTTCTCTATTAATCATTACTGTAATTAGTAATTATTAATAATACAAAGAGTTGTTAGTGTGCTTATTTCACATTAAGGGAGATCTAAGAGGCAGAAACATTTGTATAAGTTATATTTAAAGTTATTCACAAATATTTTGATAATTAAAAATTTTAATTGTACAAATTGAGGTAAGCTGCTCTTCTGACAGTACTTCCAATCTCGATCCCTACTGCCTGACCTCAGAAAAGCCAGGTCTATTTGGGATGGGTTTATAATGGCACCAAGGAAAAGAAGATTGCAATTTACCAAATTGTTTTCCAATCATATTTGGATTTGGGGTACCCATTCTTCGACATTACTATGAAATTATAGACAAAATAATATTTTACAGTATTAACTGCACATTTATTATAATACATTATTACTTAATGTTTTTCCCTCAATGATTTCTACTCCTGGAGTTTAACAGATGTCTTCGTAGTTTATGTTCTGAATTAGCTTACATTCCCAGACAGAACTATTAATATATAAAAATTGACTGCAAATCCAATGCAAAGATAGTTTAGAGTTGAATATGTCACTGATGATTTTAATTTATAATTAGGAAAAATACTTGATTTTGCCTATGTGTTCGTTTATGAAAGAATTTAATAACTCATTCATTTATTCCAAAATATTTATTATACACCTATGGTAAACAGAGCTTTCTCATAGTACATTTTATATTGATTCATTTTATAATTTCCTGTTAACTTTCTATAAATGATTAAATTGTTAGTATGGTATTTTATGTACAAGTTAGCATGGTATCACGTAAGGGTTTTATCCTCCTCCTCTCTTTGGTTTACCTCTTCAAGTCTGCAGATTTTATGCAATGATTGTAGCTCATGAAATGCATACTACTTTGATCTGTGACCTTTTTGTGGTGCTAATCGGGTTCCTGATATCATTATACCTTACTCATTAATCATATTTCCTGCAGCACGTCAGGCAGCCAGACAGCACAAGTCCCTGTTTTCAGCCCTCTGTTGGCAGGTTTCTGCTTTTCCAGATTATTGCAGACGATACTTTGGCTTCTCATAGCCAGAGCCACATCAAGCTGTGTGTTACAATTAAAGTCAGATGGTCCTCAGGTTGAACAGGGATATAGTGTTGCAGCTGTCTCTCTTCCTGGAACAAACCAGCATCAAGAACAGATGATCTATAGGACAGTGAATAATAACAGATTGTACAATACTCACTTGGTAGCAGGGGATCACAGAATTAATTCACTGACATACTCATTTTAAAATACCCAGCATGTCTTTTTTAAGTATTTGGTTGTCCAAATATTAATTCAAGGAGATAGGATATTTTTAGGAGCATGGTTTTGATAGTGGACCAGTAATGCTACATTTTCTATTTGTATTAGAGGACTATAACTGCTATCTTATCTAACAGTTTTCATCCTCAGAGCTTTCTTTAAGTAGTGGAGATCTAAATGTCGGATTGGTAAATTGGCTAAGTGATGGACTTATGTACAGAAGATAATATCCCCCATATTTTAGAAGGGAAGCTCACCTAAGTCTGATTAGCTTTTCCAGGCAAATAAATTGTATTTTCTTTGTTCTGAACAGTTGAAATCATGGTAAAATTGAAGCAGTCTTAATTATATCCCTGAGATAAGTCTATGTTATTTAATATTGCCTGAACCAGGGAAAAAACGTTTTATTCCAGATACTGCTTCAGAAATATAAAAGAGAAACAGCCTTTTGTACTTTCAAATAATATAAAAATATATGAGTTCAGAATGCTCATTATCTGTCTGTTAGGATATAATGTCAATGTTTTGGACCTATATTATATTGCTTCTTAAAACCATCAAGTTTTAAGTTGAATAAAAGACAAAACTGTACTACTCTGAGCACTAATGATAGAGCTTTTTTTAAAAAAAGGTAGAGTCTT